TAGACTGTAATACAAATAGTTGAGTTTGCCAGGTGCATACAACATTTATGACAGGTTTTCATGAAAGTGTTGGTGTGCTTGACAATCCCATTTTGCACTTCAACAATAAAACTGAAGTGAGCTAAACAAACTGAGAAATGTTTCTTTTTAGTTAAAACAGATGTTGTCAAAGTTTTCCTTTGGGGACATAATTTGAAGTTGGAAAAAGGTAATAAATTGCAATATATCGCAATATATTTAAAATTGCAATAATATTGTATCGTGACACAAGTATTGTGATAATATCGTATCGTGAGGCTTCTGGTGATTTCCCACCCCTAATATTTTCCATGTCTGTGATTTTTGTTTTGTTTTTGTAGTTATATATACAGGGCGTAAAACTAACTTTTTGCCACACCTGCCAATGGCCGGTGACATGATCAAATTTACCGGCCCAAAAGTTTTATTTTACCGGCCTTGAAACTCTTTTTGTCTGTTATTACTACTACAATGACTAAACATATTTACAATGTTTTTAATTTGTCCTGCTGGTGCATTTTCCCTCAATTTTCCCTATTAATTATAGCCATTCAACATTACAGTATAATTGAAAGCCATTATTTTTAACATTTAATAGGCTTTTTTTTTTTTACATTTAATAGGCTTTCTTAAACATTTAAGTGATTTTAAAACAATTTTCACAAACTATATTATATATGCATAAACTATACATATTAATCTTTATTCAAGCTACAAAAGTTATCAAAAGCTACGCAAGAGTGCATTTTTTTTTTTACATTTAATAGGCTTTCTTAAACATTTAAGTGATTTTAAAACAATTTTCACAAACTATATTATATATGCATAAACTATACATATTAATCTTTATTCAAGCTACAAAAGTTATCAAAAGCTACGCAAGAGTGCATCCACGAGTTACACATCTGACTAGCGCATAACTTAGTTCAAGATAACTTGTCCATTTACGCCTTTTTGTGCATATATAAATTGTAATATTATATTTATGTTCTATAAATATCTGATTCTCATATAGCCTAATTAACCCGCTATAACAAGCGCTTGAGTTTACCGGTGTTCATTCAGCTCTTCAGCTACAGCGCACGCAGCTCAAACAGCAATGCTGCTATTTAAAACAGTGGTATTCATTTGTTACTTTTTCTAAATCATTGATGCATTATTAATAATAACCACCACTTTTATTTTATCAACAATATGGTTTAGTAATTAAAATCATTTTATTATATTATCATATATTTATTATTATTGTCCGTACAGAGGCTATTCCGTTTTATTGATCCATGGCGCATGCATTTTGATTCTTTACACATGTAATGATCTCCAGTGACTTATTTGCGTTATGTATGTATATCTTTTTTTTTTTTTTTTGTAAGGCTTTTTTATGACGAAGTTTGGTTATGGTAGAGAGTAAAATTTTTAAAGCATACACTGCTCAAACTAGGCTGCTTATGTTGAAGTGTTTGGGATGTGGCTTGTAATGATGAGACCTTTTTTGTAATCAGGCTCTCAAAACTATAAAAATTTGGATATAGGTTTGTCGGCCAACATTTCGGCTTTCAAATATAAAGAATTATCGGTATCGGTGCATCCCTATATATATATATATATATATATATAATATAGTTAATAGTATGTGTGAAAACATAGACTACTAAATATTGGCCTATAATAATATGTATAGTAGCATCATTGACATGGTCAGTAACTAATCAGTGATGTTTTGTTTCTTTTTCATGTTTAATGTTATAAAATTATAAACTTAAAAATTAGGAATTTTCAGAAACTACTTTTTTTATACAAGTAAAAATTCTTGTGTGTGAAAATGTAGACTGCTTATATAATAAATTTAAAATAAAGTAATATAATAAAATAATATATAATGAAATATAATAATAAATGTAAATAGAAAAATCCCTTTTTATAATATATTAATATAGGCCAGGACAGATGGAAATGAACTACTGGCCCAGCTGGACAAGCAGAAAAATGGCTGCTTTAAATCAGGACGAGAGAGATAAATGAAGTCCTGTGCCCTGACCGCGTGTGCTTCTGTTCTTGTGTCCTTGCAGCAGTTCTGTGGTGTTTTGGGTCACACATTTATGGAGTTTCTGAAGGACAGTGGCGACTACTGCCAGGCTCAGCACGGCGTTTATGCAGAGAAGTGAACGGCCGGCCTTGCTACCTCATCAGAACAGAGACTTGTGTTACAGTTTTAAAGTTGGCGGGATCGGGCTTGGAGAGCGGGCGTCCACAGCGGTCGGCGGTTCTGGATGGGGTAAAAAAAATCTCTTGAAGTTCACTGCCCTTGTCGGCCCTACGTCTTCACTCTCACCAGAGGACCAGCCTTGTTTTCTAGGGTTTTTCCTTTTTTTTTTGCTATTAATCCCGCCCACCTCTGGGTCACACCTCTTTTCTCCTAATCGTATCCGCCAGCATTTCTTTTGTTATTAGAGAAAGTTTTTTCCATTTTTTTCTTTGAGATTTTCAAGCTGTTTTGAAAACTCAAAAATGGCACGTATGAATAGACCTGCCCCAGTGGAGATCACTTACAAAAACATGAGATTCCTCATTACCCACAACCCCACTAATGCCACGCTTCACAAATTCATTGAGGTGAGTGTTGGTTTAAACGCACTAAATGTGTTGTTTTGGATAGACGGATTATAAAACCCTCATAATTACAAAACATCACTTACATGATATTCCATTAGGAACTGAAGAAATATGGGGTGACGACGGTAGTTCGAGTGTGTGAGGCCACATATGATGCAAACCTGGTTGTTAAAGAAGGTATTCAGGTTCTGGTAAGTCCACACGAACCAGTTCACCTACATGACAGTGAATAGAAATGTCCATTCTTATCTCGTGCCTTATCTTTTAATGCAGGATTGGCCCTTTGATGATGGAGCTCCTCCCTCTAACCAGATCGTTGATGATTGGCTGAATCTTCTTCGGATGAAGTTTAGGGAGGAGCCAGGCTGCTGTATTGCCGTACATTGTGTTGCAGGCCTTGGAAGGTAATTTTATTGGGATTCAAGATCATTGGCTGTATCATAATGTGTAAACATGGAATAAAACCCGTTTTGAGCTTTGCATGGAAATCTTAGTTGTTGTTTTTCCCCACAGAGCCCCAGTGCTGGTTGCTCTGGCCCTGATTGAGTGTGGCATGAAATATGAGGATGCTGTTCAGTTCATTCGACAGTAAGTTAACTTCATATTTTTGAAAATAATACAATCTTCATTCTTAAAGACAAAGGTTTATTTAATCCCCCCCCCCCAGAAAGCGCCGTGGAGCATTCAACAGCAAGCAGCTCTTCTATCTGGAAAAATATCGTCCCAAAATGCGTCTTCGATTCAAGGATTCCAACGGCCACCGCAACAACTGCTGCATTCAGTAAAAGCTTGCGTATCAGCCTTTCTCAAATGTGTAATGGGAATTTGTATCTAGCATAGGTAGTTTGTTCTCTTGTTCTAACTGTGAAAATGCCGTTACAAAAATTAAGCTTATTTCGTTACAAGTGTCCCCCGCCCTTCTCTTTGTTTGTATGTATTTCCTGTGGCGAAGCAAGGTAAAGTGCTTGTTTGAACATGAGCTTAAGTGTTTTGCGATGAAGTTTGTTGGTGAAACATGGTCAAATCCCAACTCTGCCAAACACGTTGTATGCTTTATAGCCTAAATGGGTTTGATTAAAAAATGTCATGCATTTTTTGTTGTTGATGATTTCAGTCTATCTGTAATAAACACCTGCCTCTGCAAAAATCTCAAATAAATGCCTTATTACAGCAGAAAGACACCATCTGGTGGAGTTCTCGGTGGCATTTGGAGAGGTTTCTCAGTGATGTTTTTTGCAGAAAAAAATCAGGAAGAGAGATTAAAAAAAATGGAAGAAAATATAATCCGTTTATATAAATATATTTAAGGGTGGGGTACTACTTTTTGTTGTTTATCCAAACTTTGTTTACCTATTACTGCCAATAGTGTGATGTTTGTGTTTTAGCTTAAAACTGGACCTCAATGTCTGCAGTATTTTTATGGCTTTTTTTTATTTATATACGGTATTTGATTGTGTACTGTTAAATCACCTATTTATATCATTGGGTATGTTTTAGTATAGCAAGAAACAAGTCTGCCCATTTGAGAGTACAATAAAGATACACTGAAGGAGCATTTGACCTCGTCTGTGCTTGATTTTAACTTTTAAATTAAAAACATGCAGCACTTTATCAAAATTTTTATTTTCTTCCCTTTTCACAACCGTTGGTGTCACATCAATCTTGTCTACAATAAATAAAGCATATAGAAACTTCCTAGATCGCTTTTAAACATCAAGACCTCTCCCTCACTGCAAAGAACCACAAAAATGTTCACGAAATTGGAGAAAGTCTCTTAAGGTTAAAACAACCCAAAAACCATTTAATAAAATGCTTGCCAATCATTTTTTAGCAATGCAATATTGACAAATTTACAATGTTTAGGACTCCCTCTGATTAGTGATAGATCTGATAGTCCTTTTAACAGCCTTTAATGTGTAAAGTGACCACGTCGTGGCGACGTAATTTTGTATGCATCCAGGACCTTAAAAAATATCAAGTATATTCAAATGAGATTGAACTAGAGCATATATTTTTTGCAAGCTATAATTTCATTATTTATGGGGCAATTTAGGTTTACTTTGAATCTTAATAGAATAATTGGAGCTATACAAAAGTATGTCCAAAAAAAAAAAATTATCTTAGTAAATGGGGACTGGATGAAATTGGGAACCCTAATATGAATTGATCCAACTTCACACAGGTGTTTGATAAGTACTTTTTGTCATTTTATTCGTTTATATGTCTAGTTTTTATCTTTTTTTTTTAAATTTTGGTTAACATTTATTTCAGTAACAGACAATAGCATCACTTCTCAAAGCAAACTCACCGATCCTTTCTCGCCTGGCTCTCCCTCATCACCCTGGGAAAATAAATGGACATGGAGTTTAGGATCAGCAAGGGGGTCATGACTGAATACATAACCAATACATCCAAAGACATTCAAATATCTGTGCTGTTATATATCTGTACTTACAACATCTCCTTTGTCTCCAGGTGTTCCCTCTTCACCAGGTGGGCCCTAAACAAACATGCATTAGATGCATTATAATATAGATTTAATTGATGTTATATAAAGTAAAACTAAAATGACACACACACACACACACACACACACATATATATATATATATACTGTATATATATGTATTGGCTTACTTGCTCTCCTTTTGGACCAGTTAGACCAACAGCTCCCTGGAGAATGATAAAATAAGATTGTGCTTTTAATCTTAACTATAACCATTTGATAACTGCCTAAAAATGGCTATGTAAAATATAACATGTTTTGAATTCATTTTTTATTTTTTCAAGTGATTTTTAATTTTGGCAACTTGTTTCTGGAAAAAAATATTGGTCCACAGAGAATCTAGTTTTAAAGATCGGCAATAAAGAGAATAATGCTTATAATCCACATTTGTCAAATTCTGAAATTCCTAAATCACATGACCTCACCAATTTACATATTTAATTCAGTAAGTGAAACATTTAATTCACATTATATTTAATCACATTATTGCACACCCTGTATTAAAATACAGGAAGTTAGCGTTTTTAATTCATAAAAATGTCTTTAGCACTAAAGATACATAGACAACTTTTAACAAATGATTTGATTGGCTCTTTTGTATTTTGAATCGATCTGTAGTTTCTGCTTTTGAAATCCTACCCTGTCGCCTTTCTGCCCGATGAAGCCAGCAGGCCCTGGAAGACCAGGAAGGCCCGGATCTCCTTTAGAACCCTGTAAAAATACATAAATACACAGACACACACAAATAAATACAAATTCATGAACACTACATGGCTTGTGCCCGTAGCTGCTGCACAAACCACATCTGCTCTAAAAAAAACACAGTCGGCAGCTCAGTGAGCAGAATGCTGGCGGGACTCGTCTGAGGTGTGTGGATGGATGTGGACTATGATTAAGCCTGATGCCCTTCGCTGGCTGCTTGAAGGAATTCCTGCAAGACAGAGGGCTCATTCAGCCCCCCGTCCTGCTCTGAATATCCCCTTACCAAAGAAAATATCCCCAGCTACTAGGCCTCAATAACAACAGGCTATTCATGCCCCTACCAGCCGATTACTGCACTAAAGCTCACTAGAGCTTTCTAAGGAGATTGCATTACAGTTTGGAGCACTATTAAGCTCCTCAGCATAGGACAGGAATCTGAGAGCTAAGATCAAGTCAAACATGTTTCTGCTTTTCATACTGTGTTGTAAATACGCTTCAAAGTGTTTGTTTTACTGCACTTTATCTATTTGCATCTGTAGATTTCAATTACAATACATATCTTTAAAGGTCATTTTCTCAAAACATGTTTTGTTTTCTCATTTCTGGCTGTTGACAGTATTTTCTGTCAGATTACAGAGTGATACAAATAGATATCCAAAGTCTAATATTTCAACAATATGAAATGAATTTTGAACCTGGCTTTATCCGGTGTTATGTTAGGTGCTGGAAATTTATTATGTGCACATTTAATTAGCATATTTAAACAAAATGTTCTTTAAATACAAAAATGTTTGCAATTCTTTATGTAAACACACACACACTAGTCTTACATTTTTTAATGTATATAGATATAGAGCTTATGTTCAAGTACAAACTAAATCTTTACCATGTAGGATATTTATTAGTGTTTCATAGACATGAAATTATATTTTGGCCTGTCCCAAATGGTAACCTTAGCCCACACTGTCCTGCTTCTACACTTTACCCCATGGATTGTTTAATAGTGGACACCCTAGTGTTTTACACTTCAGAGATGTGTGCGTGAGAACTTCCACATCAAATCTGCAATATGGGACAAGACCTTTGAGAGTTTAAAGGATGTGTAATTTCTTTGGAATCCATTTTCAAGTGTCTTATTTGTCATCTTCCAAAGATTTCTCTTCTTCTTTCATTTGTCCTTCATCTCTTTCCACATTTTTGCCTGTTCTTTGTAGCTCCAGGCTATTCTCAATTGCCATGAAGCTTCACCTAAGAGAAGGGATGTAACAATGCACACCGAGCCAGATGAAAATCGATTAAAAAAAATATGTGACAATTCAAGTTGAGATGTTAAACGAATCACGACACAATTGGGACTGGGAGTTTATATGAATGTATCTCTGAGGGGAAAAATTTAGATGGTATTATATTTTTATCTTTCCTCTGTATAATGTATATTAAAGTAGTGTTTATAAGCGCAGCACTGCTTTGTTTAAAGCGGTATATGAGGAAATGCTGTATCGCTGCTGTTCCATAAGCGCCACCTGCTGTCAGAGAGTAAATTTGCATTCTCATTCATCCCGTCTTCTGTTTTTGTTCAGTGTTTTACATGTAGTTCAGTTTTCATAATTTAGTTTTTGCTTCAAATTTCAAAATTGTACAGTCTAATTTAAAGGTGCCATAGAATGGAAAACTGTATTTACCTTGGCATAGTTGAATAATAACAGTTCTGTACATGGAAATGACATACCGTGAGCCTCAAACACCATTGTTTCCTCCTTCTTATGTAAATCTCGTGCATGCAAAAGACCACTGAAAAATAGGCGAATCAGAACATGACACCGACTGTGACGTTACAGTCGGCATCACTAATAGTTACGCCCCCAACATTTGCATATACCAGCCCATGTTCTATGCCAGCCGCCAGCCGAACCTGCACAGCCGAATCATCAGAAGTTCTGCAGGTATTGTGAAGAAACAAGCGAGGATAATAGCGAAAATGGCAGATCATGGAAATAAATGTTATGTTCCAGGCTGTGCAGGGGATGTGATGTGCAGGGATGGGATGGTGTCTGTATTCAGAAAGGCACGGAAAACAAATAACGCGCGCGTTCTAATAAAACAACGCGAGCCACTGAAGGGACATGGTTAGCCGCTTGCTAGCGGTAGCCTGTTACATTACAGTACATAAGATTTCACTTACTACATAAACAGAGTAAGGAGAGATGACTGAGGATGATGGCGAATGATTTACAGATCCTGAGCACCACTGACAAGCATCTGATCTCGTAAAATGTGTGGTAAGTACTGCCGCTGTAGTTTACACAGATCACGTGCGATCGCAAATCTTGAAAGTAAAAAGCTATCGTGCATTGGAAAGCAGTTTCAATGCTTCGCATATTAATAGCGGCTCCCTGATGCCCGCATTTTATATACAGTATAATCTGCATCTTTTATGGTGGAATTGTAGTTTCTGATGACTCACCCTTGCACCTGGTGAGCCTGCAGACCCATCAGGACCTCTCACTCCTCTCTCACCCTGGAGAAAATGACAGAACGTTATAGAAGTGACACGTTTCTTTATATGACACTATATGATGGAAGAGGAAATATACTCACTGGCCCACCTCTTGGGCCGACTGGTCCCACCTCTCCTTGCTCGCCACGTTCACCCTGAAATCAAAACATCAGAAGTTGTTCATCCCTCCACATAGGCCTGCAAGCTGTGGTGAACAAATGGATAACCGTGACTCACTGTTTTTCCATTATTTCCAATCAGACCTGCCACACCTGGATCACCAGTATTTCCCTGGAGCAAAGACAAAACAGGTTATCCTTCCTGCTAATGGACACTAGAGGTGCACCGGTTGAACAGCCATCATTCGCAACCAGACGGTGTTTGCTCCAAACATTCAGCTATATTGATCTATGTTCCGCACACAAAATGCATTGGAATCATTTTGCAAAATGTCATTTGAAAATGGGACGTTAACAGAAGCCAGTAACAGGACAGGCTGAAGACAGACGAAAAGAGGAGAGTAGAGAAAATATTGTCCCAGACAGATCAAGGCTCACTGTTCGCAATGCTTGGAGTCGGTTCACAAAAGTTTCAATTGCATTTTCTTTTCATCTTACCTGCGTAGAGTGCCTATTAAAGTAGTATTTATAGGAAGTGTTTTTCTTTAAATCTTGAATTTATATAATCCAATTGAAATACAAAAAATAACTGCTCATGCTATATGTATGTAGCATCTTTGTTTGGATTGTGATTACAATGTGGTGGTTACAAATGATAATAGAGCAAATAATAGGTACTGGAATCGGCCCATTTACTGGTAAAAAAGAAACAATAGGCATCGGCAAAAAAAAAATTTGGGCATCATTACTAAGATTCTTCAGAAATCATGATGATTGATGCTCAAGATTATTAATGTTAAAAGCCGCTTAATATTGAGCTGCTTTATATTTTTGTGGAAACCACGATTCATTTTTTTCAGGATTTTTTTATGAAAAATATGTTGAAAAAGATTTTTGTAACATTGCAAAAGTCTTTACTGTCACTTTTGATCAATTTAATGCCTCCTTGCTGAAAAAAGGTATTTAAAAAAAAAATCTGTCTGAAAATCTTACTGACCCCAAACTTTTGAACGGCATTGTATCTCAGCAAACATTTAAAAAAGGAATCTATCTTGGATATACCAAGATAACAAACAAAAAAAGCACACTTTTATGAAGATACACTCTTAACGATTCACACTTGAATGACCTACTTTTTCACCCATGTGACCTTTTGCTCCTGAAATGCCTGGCAAACCCTGAAGGAGAAGAAAGTATCAAAAATGCAAGCCATTCCCAGTCATCTCACAAGTAGATATCACGGCATATTAATTGCATATCGAACAGGGGTCAAAGGTCATACGCACTGGAAATCCCTGAAGTCCAGCCTCACCAGGCGAGCCAACTTTTCCAGGAAGACCCTAAAACAATATGCAGATAAAAATCACTTCACCATAGAAAGAGACAAACAGTGATGTAAATTATTTTTCTCTGCAGACATGAATTATTAAAGTCATTACCTTCACTCCGGGCAGCCCTGGAATCCCATCACGAGCATCCACCGCAGGCAGACCCTACATCACAAAGATGCCATTTTATTGTATAATCATTCACTTTAGGATAATACAATATAGAATAGCATTCATAAAACTGCAACACAGGTAACTTACAGTCTCTCCTTTCGGTCCAGGTAAACCCAAAAGTCCTTGCAACCCCCGAGGTCCCTAGAAAGAAAAAGCCACATTAGAAATCAAAATATAGCAAGCTTGTTGAGTCTGCTTGAGCTGTTAATAAGTCATGATAAATATAATGCAATGTGTTGTTTTGTTGTTGGATGATAACTCACCTGAGCTCCTTTTGGTCCAGTCTCACCTACTTTTCCTCTTTGACCCCGATCACCCTTTAAAAATTGAAAAACAATATAAATCTATACGTTTTATTTCACACATTTATTAACAAAAACAAATCAACCAACAGCTTGTAAAACGTAAAAAGGGACCTGTGAAGATAACATTAAAGGAACACGCCACTATTTTTTAAAATAGGCTAATTTTCCTACTCCCCTAGAGTTAAACAGTTGAGTTTTACCGTTATCGAATCCATTCAGTCGATCTCCGGGTCTGGCGGTATCACTTTTAGCTTAGCTTAGCATAGATCATTGAATCGGATTAGACCGTTAGCATCTCGCTCAAAAAAATGACCAAAGAGTTTTGATATTTTTCCTATTTAAAACTTGACTCTTCTGTAGTTACATCGTGTACTAAGACCGACGGAAAATGAAAAGTTGTGATTTTCTAGGCCGATATGGCTAGGAACTATACTCTCATTCCGGCGTAATAATCAAGGAGCTTTGCTGCCGTACCATGGGTGCAGCAGGAGCAATGATATTATGCAGCGCCTGAAAATAGTCCCCAGCTAGATAATAGGAAAAATATCTAAACTCTTTGGTCATTTTTGAGCGAAATGCTAACGGTCTAATCAGATTCAATTATCTATGCTAAGCTAAGCTAAAAGTGATACCGCCAGACCCGGAGATCGGCTGAAGGGATTCGAAAACAGTAAAACTCAACTGTTTATCTCTAGGGGAGATGGAAAATGAGCCTATTTTCAAAAATAGTGGCGTGTTCCTTTAACATTAATGTAAATAAATGATAGGTACAAGTACAGATGCATGTTTAAAAATGTGGTTAAAGGCCAAAATTTTGCTGTGACTTGATTTTGCCACTTACAGGAGCGCCCTGAATACCCTGAGGGCCCAGGTCGCCAACATTTCCACGGAGTCCCTAATGGGCAAGAAAATACATTTGGTCATTTCAAAAGATATCATTGTTATTGATTTAGATATGAAGATCTAGGGCTGGGTTTTGATGATTTTTGATGAATTTCACAATTCGATTCGATTTTGATTCACGAGCTTGCTCGATATCGGTTATTTTGGATATATCAGGTACAGTACATGTCAAAGTTTCTCAAGGAAAAAAAAATCTCTCAATTAATGCTGTAAAATATACCTGAGAGTCAGTTAGTACTACATTACTATAATATTGAAGGTTAAGATTAACTGATTTGTATACAAACACTTCAATTACGTAAGTTATACGTTTTCATAATAATAAAGCAATAATACTAACTTTAAAATTACATAATTATATTTCTACTCCGAATCATTTTTTTTTAAATGTAAACATTAAAATGGTGGCCATCATAAAAACTTGACAGATTTATTCAAACAAAAATGAATTACTGAGGAACAGTGAAAATTATAATGATGTTATATGGTGCATATATTTAGCAAAATGTCTTAATTTCTGGCAATATTGTCGACTCGATTGCACAGATACTATTTGAACTGAACTGAGCTGGACGATGACACCACTTGATCAGTGATAAACTGACTCTAACTGGAAAATTGAGTGTTTACTTTTGTCCTCTTGATTATCGACACGCTACTTTCCTGTTTAATACTGTAAATCTGCTTTGACACATTGTATAAAACGCTATATAAATAAAGGTGACTTCAGCAAATGGACCTGTCACGCCACATTGAACATATTGTTTGAATATTGTAATAAAATGGACAGAATTTGAAATCTGAGACTTTGTTTTATATCAAAAGTAACAAAGCACAGACCTTCTTGCGATTTATTGGATGGGAGGCGTGCTACAATGTTGCGTTCATTAACCGGAAAAAGGCTAGACTAATCGATTCTTAGGATTTAAGAAGCCCGACTTTTGACCCTCACCCTGTCCCCTTTAGGGCCCATCATCCCTGTGATTCCTCTGAGACCCTGTGGACCCTATAATAACAAAACAAGCACACAAAGAGATGTTGAGTGACAGCACTCTCACGCCTGACACAAACAAAGAACAGTAGATAAGTAATGTCTTTTTTTACAGGAAGGCCTTGTGCTCCTGGCTCTCCATGTGCTCCCTGGTCTCCTTCGTCACCCTGTAAGATGTAAGAAAAAACGTAACAAAATGACACACCCCGACTCGATCTTTGTATCTTAGCTAGCTTAATTATTCTAACAATGATGTTGTGCTGTGGGCCTCAATTTGATACATTAATTATTTGTCACAAAGGAATCACGCCAAGCTTGACCTATGCAACTGTCACCTTATGTCCTTGCCTTCCTGGTTCACCTGATTCACCTTTGACACCTTTGTGGCCCTAAAGATGAACAAAGCACCAGAATGAGCAATACTTGTTTGAGCATCCAGAAAGTTTCACATTTCAAACTTACCTTCATGCCTGGAAGACCTGTGTATCCATTCAGGCCAGAAGTACAGGCATTTGGACACTGAGAAACATAACAAAGACAGATCAATTAGCAGAAACATTGATGATAAAGATTTAGAATACTTATGACTACTTGAATTATTGAAAATATTTCATACTATGTTTCATCTAATTGAAAACATTTACATGCCAACCGGTCATCAAGTGTGGTGTTTGTTCACTTTTAGTTTTGAAGAACATAAGCTAAAGGTCAAATACCTTTATGAATGAATTAAATGAAATGAATGTTCCATGAATGTACAATTCCATAGTAATCATCTATAATAGGAATGTTTTTGAAAACATCACTCAGTTGTTGTCTAAAAAGGCTACCAGATATGAGACTTGAGGATACATACCAGCTCCTTACCATCCCAGACTCCAGGAGGGCCCTATGTATAGAATGAATATAGTTTAACAGTAGCCATTTATGAATCCAGGATATCAGTGAATGATCATTAAGATCTAAACATTACTTACTCTGGGCCCTGCCAGTCCTGGATCACCAACAGGACCTCTCGGTCCACGACTTCCCTTTACAGCAGAACCAGAGACAGATACTCCAATTTATTATTCATCTATTTGATTTTGATTTGTTTTTGGATCGGTGTATAATGGAATAATGTTACGTACAGGAGGTCCAGCTTTGCCCAGCTCTCCAGGTAACCCATCTTCCCCATCAGCACCCTTCAGTAGAAAAGAAAAACAATTAAACAGCTTATTCTTGAATAACAAAAGAACAATGTACTAATAATGTCCCCTATTAAAAAGACTAAACAACAATAAAATGCACTCACAGCTTCACCATCCTCTCCAACACCCTGTTAACAAAGTAACAGATGTGCAATGACACCAAATTAGCAAGGGAAAAAATCTTGCAGCATTACATCACAGAACACACTAGAAGGTCATAGGCCTGAACTTTATCGAATGGCCTAATGCCTGCAACAGCTCAAAGTGTGTACAGCCATCTGGTCACTGTTTAAACAGATATATTTTTGCATAATAACAAGCTAACTGGACAGAAAACATCCCTATTAAGCTGTGATTATTCTAGCAGCACACTAAAATTACAGAATTTGAAGCATTTACTTACAATGGCTCCCCTTGGTCCCGGCTCACCAGGTTCACCCTGATAAGGAATAAATGTCAAACCACAGGATCTTTTAAGTGCACTTTAATGATTTAGAGGTAATTCTTTAACTTCTTCAAGTGAAGCATCACTAATACTACTGTAAAATTCAGCCATTCACGATAAAGACCTAATATGTTAAAAATGCATCTATGTGCACTTTTACTTATTATTAACTGAAAAGTGAAATAATAAGTGGAACTTAATATTAAGCGTGAACTTACTTTTTGTCCAGGAGGGCCAACAGGGCCAGGGGCACCACGGGGCCCAGTCAAACCCTTAGGAAGACACAACCATCTATCAGCACGGGCTTCACTTTGACTGACTGCAGATCAAATGTCCGTTACTTTATTCACTGAACTGATTGCTGAACTAATGTTATTGTGATACAGCTGCAGAATTTCAGAGCTCATTATTTCACTTTAATAATATTGTTTGAAACATAGTGTGTGAAATTAATTAATTGCCTCAGACACACTGACCAATCATAAATGACATTTACCAATCCCCTGACTTTGACAAGTAACAAACCCCGCCCACATTTTCTCTAATATATGTACAGCAGACCACTGCAGATACCTGTATTCAACACTTTAAGGAAAACAGGAAACATATCTAAGGGGATAGGAAGCATATCTATATCTATAAGTGACAGCCATTTTTATATAACTTTATGCATATAGAATGCTTTAGAATTCATTTTTTTACTTAAATTATTTGCATCAGTAATAATACAATAGAACCATTCATACAAAAAATAAATCAGTTTTTTGTACAAATAATGCCAACATGATAGACTCATAATGCAAGCAAAAATATAACATCTTTATAGCAGATTTTTTTTTAACAGTAATGTTTAAATAATAGGCTACTCTGCAAAAAAAAAAAAAATATATATATATATAGGTATTTTCTAGGAAAAATATTTAAATGTCCTTTAAGGAAAATAAAGAAGATAATTTACTTTAGAAGCAAAAAAAAACAAAAAAAATATTTTAAAGCTGGTCTTCATTCATGCTTTAAACAAGAAAATATATTTGCCATGGGTGTAAGAATTAATTCATGATATAATCTCTGGAAGTAGTCTCTTAATATCTTAAATTCCAGTTCTCAAGTAAATATATACAGTATGAACACAAGACAAAATGATTTTTGCTGTGATTAATTATAGCACTAGCTAAATTCTAAAGCTCAGGGGAGTCACAAAGCAGTCGGTGTGCTTCGGTTTAATGCTCAGTCCAGCACACAGTTCAGCTCCCGTGGCTCCATACTTGTACAAAAAGGCCTCTGTCTTCATCAGGAAGCCAATATGGGGCTCTCTCTGCTTACTCTTTCCTCTCCGGTCCTTTTTTTCCATCCAGGAGCTTTTTTTTCACTCAGACCCCTCCAATGCAAACTACACTCACAGGCTCTGATGCTGCAAGTGTTACTTAGAAAAGAAAAGCTGATTTTATCTTGGTTTCTAGCCCTTTACAAAAATAAAGAGCAAGACTCACATCCGCTCCTGGTTTTCCTGGAAGGCCATTTAATCCATCCTTGCCATTGTCCCCATCAAGGCCCTGACGGATTCATCAGATTAATGGACTGGTTGCTCATCATTTCAGCTATGAAGAATTATTTTTGTTGCGGAAGATATAAATACTTACTGGGGGGCCATCTGGGCCAGGGCCAGGTCCCCTATCACCCTGAAATCATACGAAATACTAACTAAATAACTCAAATAAAAGTTGTTATTCGAGGCTACAAGAATATACCATACTGTAAGCTAAGAAATCAGAGAATCTCTGAGGAATTAAATAGATAGATAGATAGATAGATATGTGACTCACATCAATGCCGTCAACACCAGAAAAACCAGGAAGCCCTGGAGGTCCAGGTGGTCCTCTTGGACCAACTGGCCCCCTCTAAAAAAAATACACAACAATAATAATAATAACAGAAATGCATTTACAAAAACAAACCTCCGCTTGCTTAAAATTGATCCTGCAATCCCAATAGTTTAGTCTTCAGGACAATGAAGTGTTTGTAGGTGTGCCTGATGCTGTGGTTAGAGGTATCACACTGGCTCTCTCTTATCCTGGGAAAGTGACAACAGCTGTGCACACCTGGACCATTTTACTGAAAATATCTTCCATATGTCAAGCAATGCTCTCAAACGCTTGCAAATTCAGATACACTAAATTAAGAAATATATGACATACAGTTCATAAATAGTGCATATGTGGGAAAAAACAATCTTTGGTGCTTTAGTAGCCTATATATTATTCAATAATGTCTCATCAAACATTCCTTTTCTGTCTATATATTTTTTATGTTTTTGTCCAATTTTTTTTTTACTATTAAGATATTTTAAAAAGCATGCATTGACCCCAAACACCCACACGGTCCATCTCTAGTGCAAAAAAAGCCATTGTTTCTTACCTGTGCTGAGATGATCAGGACTAACTGCAGTAAAATCAGCAGCAGGGACGCGCGGAGAGCCCCGGCGTGCGCCATAGTCACCCTGATGACTTGAAGGAGGCAAAATAGTCCTTTTTAGGAGATTTGTTGGGGTCCACGGGTTTTGTGTCAATAGTCCCCAACTAAACCTCCACACCATCTACCAGTCTCTCGATGCAGTATTAAAAAGTTATGTTTATTCATGAGCCGCGCTGGGAACTGGAAGGTGATTGGATAGGAGCTCAAAGGTTTGCATAAAATGGGCGTGGCTCAGGGATACCTGCTGTGGGTACCGCACGTAAACCTATCAATGTAGGGTCATATTTAAAGCTGATTCAGTGTTAGTAAATTATTTTTTTAATTAATTTGATTGTTTTTATTTTATTACATTTTTTTGCCAGGCTGTTAGAACGGTACAGCTTCGTACAAAAATTAAATATGGTAACAACAGCCAAATTCCATTGTAACTATAATAATGTTTTATGCATAGGAAACACGGCGAGCTGTTATTTGAAGGGAAATTAAAATGGCGTGAAAATGAAAGCTTCTTAAACTGTTTAAACGAGATCCCATGTGTTATAACATATTTTATATTTATTTGCAAGGGACAGTAAAACTAATTTTTATGTATATATTATTCAATCAAGTAAATAATCGGTAGATGGCTCAAAAAAATTTTTTTTTTTAATAATAAATAAATAAAAAAAGAATTGCAGTCTCCCATACGCCAGAGGGCGCTTACAGCTGTTAATGGCGCGGTTTCTTACTCTTGCATCTTTGTGTTTTGAAAACAGAAACCGACGCCGTTGGTAACAACAGCCAAATTCCATTGTAACTATAATAATGTTTTATGCATAGGAAACACGGCGAGCTGTTATTTGAAGGGAAATTAAAATGGCGTGAAAATGAAAGCTTCTTAAACTGTTTAAACGAGATCCCATGTGTTATAACATATTTTATATTTATTTGCAAGGGACAGTAAAACTAATTTTTATGTATATATTATTCAATCAAGTAAATAATCGGTAGATGGCTCAAAAAAAATTTTTTTTTAAATAATAAATAAATAAATAAATAAATAAAAAAAGAATTGCAGTCTCCCATACGCCAGAGGGCGCTTACAGCTGTTAATGGCGCGGTTTCTTACTCTTGCATCTTTGTGTTTTGAAAACAGAAACCGACGCCGTCGTCCAGGTACTGAAGACAACAGTTACCAAACCTGACCCTTTAAAAAGGTGAGAAAACATTTAGCTTTAAACTTCCCTAATGTTTTCGTTTCATATGTTACCACTACAGCCTTCTACACTATGAACGTTGCTTTCAGTGAGGAGGAAATATTTTGTTGAGATTTGTTTACGCTTAGTTAGCAGATTTTTGACTGATATCGTCTGTTTTGTCATTAAAAGATGGAGAGTCTAGACTTTTCTGAGGAGGAGATCCAGCAGCAGTTGGCTGCACTTGGATACAGAAATATTCCCAAACAAAGACTGCGGGAATTCAAGAGAGGTGGGATGATATTTTGAACTGTTTCAGCTTCATCGGTGCATTTATTTAGCATTTTATTTTCATGTTATGTAACATATGTTGCCTTAAAGTAGTGTTGTACTGTAAATCTCCATCAGATCTAGATCAGCTGATTTGTCATGAAAAGTCAAAGAGTCACAGCTCCACTGACTGGACTTCTCCAACATCTCACAGCAGCTCCAGCAGAAGTCCACCTGCAATTATTAAAGAAAAGGGTGAGCAGTCACTCCTGCTTCATGCTGTGCACTTTCATATGACATTTTTGAACATGCTTAAAGGGGTGGTTCATTGCGATTTCATTTTTTTAAAGGGGTCATATGATGCTTTTTTAAAGATCATTATTTGGTGTAACAGAATATGTTGACATGCTTTAATGTTCAAAAAACACATTATTTTTCAAATACTGTACATTATTGTAGGTCCTCTATGCCCCGCCTCTCTCAAACGCTTCGTTTTCTACAAAGTCCCTCCTTCCGACAAGCGCAGTCTGCTCTGATTGGCCGGCTGACCCAGTGCATTGTGATTGGCCGAACACCGCAAGCACTCGTCGGAAATGTAATGCCCCTTACCATAATCACAAGCTTCATCTTTCAAAATAAATGTAAAGACAGAGCCTGAAAGGGGAACAGAGTCGTGTGACAGACACAGTGATGAAGCTGGTATGTGTTTGCAGTACACAAGCCACGGTTAAGACAGCTGACTCCACTGTGATGTGACTCTCTCTCTCTCTCTCTCTCTCTCGCTCTCTCTCGCTCGCGCGCACACATACACGATGAGCAAAACTCCACATTTGAACAGTCAATAGCAAATACTTAAACTAATAAGCAAAGTCAGAATTACCTCCTCTCCTAGGTTCACGAAACGGTCGTCCATAAAATGCATTGCTGTTCTGTTGTAAGTAATCTTAAAGATTCCTAAATGCATCTACTTTCGGAAGGCCAAATAAAGTGCTTAGAGGAAGAGAAAACTAGAGGTGCACGTAAAAATCTTTTCATACATGAATCACAATTCTGTCTTCTAACGATTCTAATGGATTCACAAGATTCATAATCAGTGTTCTAAAGCAGCGGTTCTTAATACTGTTCCTCGTGTTCCCCTGCTCTGCACACACTCTGCATCTCTTTCTCTCTCTTTCAGCTCGGCTCCGACAATGAACTGTTCCAATTATACACGTATTTTCACATAGCTATGAGAAGCATTAAACATGGGTTGAAAGCAGCGGTTCTTAATCCTGTTCCTCAAGTCCCCTGTTCTACACACGATCTGCATCTCTCTCTCTCTCTCTCACTCTGTCTCTCTCTCTCAGATCATCAGCTCAGCTCCAACAATGAACTGTTCCAAATATACACGTATTTTCACATAGCTATGAGAAGCATTAAACATGGGTTGCGCATGCGGTTGCTGTACTGTATTAAAGCTTTAATCAGGTTAAAACCGTATATTAAAAGCTAACATAAGCAGTAGCATTTACAACAGCATATCTAAAAGTATGAGACAACAACAAACAAAAAACATAGGCCTACCATTAAAAGCCATGCTTGCACAGGTTCTGCACGATCCTCTTCAATAATATCCTCTGCTTCTCAATCGGGCTCAAACTGATAAGCGATATTAACGACGCTGTTGTTTACAATACAACCGGAGCACATGCCACTGAGGTGAGGGGCGGGACGTTTAGACACGCACTAGAGGCGGTTTAGCCAATCACAACACACTGGGCTAGCTAACCAATCAGAGCCCATCGCCTATTTCTGAGGGCGGGGCTTCATAAAAACAGGAAAAGATCAGCCCATTTCTCAGAGAAGGGACAGAGCTGTGTGGAATAAAGGTAAATTATGTAAAAAATAATGTTTTTTTTTTTTTTTTTTAAAAAAGCATTAACACATGTTAGACTGCACCCCATAAACACAATCAAGCCTAGAAAAAACCCAGTGAACCACCCCTTTAACCAACCTACTGCTAAATTAGTGTTTCTCCCTCAGTTCAGTTGAACCACATCGGCCCCAGTTGTAACTACGTCCTCTTCAACACCAGCTCAGCAGGGCAACACCGAGAGGTATGAGTTTTTACACACCTTAAAAACATATCATAATTTTTGACTATGCGCACAATATGCATGTTTTCCATACCTAGATTTTCTCCTCCACGTTTAATGAGGACGATCATAGAGACTCTGGTATGAATCACTACTATGATTCATATTCACGGCACACAGTTGCTCAAAGACCGGCTCGGCCCTCCACGGCACCCAACAGGCTGGAGACAGAGGCAGGGCCTTCTGAAATGTTTCACTCCGTTTTGGATGGTAGTGAGACAACAAGTCCTGACAGAGAACATCAGGTTCATTTGAAGCCTGTGATTAAAAGGAAAGTGTTAAGGTAGGGACACAAATTCTTCATTTGATAGACAACATCATCAGCCATGCAATAAACATGCAATGTGCAACATAAATCATTATCTGATATCTCATTATATAGGAAGCATCAAGGTCGGTCTCAAGTCTGTGATGAGTCCATGCATAGTGAAGATTCTGGTAAGTCCTGTGGTTATGTTTTATGATAATGTTGAGAATGTAATAGTAATAAACATCTTACTAAATGCTGCAGTGCTTATACTGTATACTGCTAACCATTAAAAAATTTAATGTGAAATAGAATGCATCATGCAAAAGTAGCATATTACGTTATTGTTATATGATGTCATCATAATGCATCTACAGAACCAATTTTGTAGGACATTCTATGTACACAGAAAAACTGTATGTTGTGCACAATATACACTACCTTTCAAAGGCTTCATTAGGCTGCATTTTCTCTCTTTTTTTGGGGGGATAAAATTCTATAAAAACAGTAATAATGGGATATATTATTCGTTTAAAATTACATTTACATTTAGTCATTTTGCAGACGCTTTTATAAAAAGCGACTTACAATTGGGAAATACATAAAGCGATTCTTCTTAAAGAGGCAAACAGACACAGGAAGTGCTTGTAATACCAAGTTTTAAGCATTGTTCAAATAAGTACAAGCTAGAAAGGGAAGGAATAAATAAAGACTGTTTCTATTTTAATATATGTTAAAACTTTTTTTCAGCATCATTACTCTTGTCTTCAGTGTCACATGATCCTTCAGAAATCATTCTATTATGCTGATTTGGTGGTCAAATTATATTTCTTAGTATTATCAATGTTGAAAACAGTTGTACAGCTTCATACTTTTATGGAAACACTTTAGATTCTCTGAATAAAATATAAAGGATTCGTTTATTTAAAAAAATAAAAAAAAAACTTACTGACTCCAAAAATTTGAACAGTAGCATTCATATTATATTCTGAAATGTGGTATGGTAGTGTTCTTTTCCGAACATAGCCATGCATTGTCTTTACATGCAGTGAAACCTCCTATACACCAGGTGGCGCAATCAGCTGCATAATCCCAGTAAAGTTCTTACCGGTAATCTTCTTAGTTACAGTCCCCCTCCCTCTCAGCCATCTGCTTCGGCTCAGAAGTGAAGTTAATTTTCTTACTGAGGGCTAAAGAAGAGATCTGTCCATCTACCTCAGGATGTATAAAGCATTTGACAGCCGTTGGGAAAATGAAAGCAAGGACGATGAAGGATCTCTGTCCTCTTCCTCCTTCTGGACAGATCAGGAAAGTGAGGGGGAAGACAGGGACTGTGTTA